GCACGTACAGTGCGATTGAAACTTCGTGGCCCATGCGCAGAAGTCGCTATTTTGTGGAAGAGCCACACTCAAGGGGCCAAAGAGCCGCATGTGGCTCGCAAGCTGCAGTTTGCCGACCACTGCAACCAACTGAACTATCTGGTGAGGGTGAACTATTTTATAGTAAAAAATTACTTGACATTAAGTATTTTTTTCCTTTTTTTTTCTTTATATGGAACGCTTCACGAATTTGCGTGCCATCCTTGCGCAGGGGCCATGCTAATCTTCTCTGTATCGTTCCAATTTTAGTATATGTGCTGCCGAAGCGAGCACGGCATTAAGTATTTTTATGATCAAATTCTAAAAACAATCTTTAGTCCCAACTGAACTTGGTACTCTAAGATTAAAAAATTTTTAAAAAATATTTACATAATATAATTTTAATCTCTAACTTCTTCCTTATCACGGAAATAATGTGCTTTTCTTTATCCTTGGGTGTCTTGAATCATCAGAAGTGGAGGACCCCCTGAACTGGGTTTCCACTTTTTTTGTTCTTCTTCAGTTTTGGCTTGCTGGAAAGCTATGGCCTGACTGAGGCTGTCAAGAGCAGGATCTTCTCCTTCATCTTCACTTTCTTCTACGTCTTCAATTTCTTCTTCTGGTTCAGGAATTTTCTTTTTTTTTCTTTTTCTCTTTCTTCTTTGGAGGTTCACGTTCTCCAAGCATATTTTTAGGACAGGCATAACTTAAGTGTCCACTTTCCCCACATTCATAACACTTAGATTTATCAAAGTAGTTTCGTCTTCGGATGAACTCAGCTGCTCTTCCATTGTCAATAGCAATGCTTGCTTTTATCACTCTACCAAATAACTAAACAGGAGAAAATGTAAATGCAGAATATGTATTCACTGATCCCATTTCCTCAAACCTTCAATTCTATTTTATTTTTTAGATTATTTTAACAATTGCCTACTTAGGTGTCAAGGGCATGTACCTTGCTTGCAGGCACATCCCCAGTAGGGGGTGTGCAGGAGGCAGCTGATTGATGTTTCTCTCTTATCGATGTTTCTAACTCTCTATCCCTCTCCCTTCCTCTCTGTAAAAAAATCAATAAAATATATTTTTAAAAAATAAATGCAACACCTTTACTCTTCCTGGTATCTTTAATTACAGTAACCTTTACAACCTTGCCATACTTGGAAAATATCTGGTATAAGTCATTGTTGGTCAGGGAAAAGGGCAAGTTGGATAACATACACTGTACTTTTACTTGGGGCCAATCCACCACTCATTTCTTCAAGTGGGGCGGGCCTGGGCGATGGGAAGAGCGCGAGCCCTCGGCTCCGGGGGGGCTCAACCCCGACAACTCCTTGCCCCTTGCAGTGGCCTCAGCATTTCAGGGGCTGGGAAGGGTCTGGCGCCGCGGACGAGAAGGCAGCACCTACAAAGCCTCTTCCCTGCTCACTTTAGACCCCAGTACGGGCCTGGAGGTGGGTGCTTTCAAGAATTCTTTATTGGTGTATAAAAGAGCCATCAGTTTCTGGGTGTTGATTTTGCTACATTGCCAAATTCATTTATTATATCCAGTAGCTTTTTGGTGGAGTCTTTAGGATTTTCTATGTACAATATCTTGTCATTTGCAAATAATGAGAATTTTACTTGCTCCTTTCCAGTTTGAATGCCTTTTATTTCTTCTTGTGTGCGTGCTGTGGCTAGGATTTCCAGTACTATCCTCCTATCTAATAAAGAGGTAATATGCAAATTGACCATCCCTCCAACACACAGATGGCCGCCCCCATGTGGACACAAGATGGTGCCACAAGTGAGGGAGCTGAAGAACTAGGGCTGCGTCTGCCTTGGGCAGCATGCTGCTTTTATAACATGGTAATTGAGTTGAACACAAAGTATAGATCTCCCTTCTTCCTGGATGAGCGCGCAATAGTGGTGAAATAGTGGTGTCATTAGTGAACATTCCCGGGTGGGCAGTGCCCGGCTACTGCTTTTTGAAATGATGCTGTGCTTTGGTGTGGCCCAAGCTGTGAAGTGTTGCTGGGCTTCTCTCCTGTGGAGCGCTGATCACTTACACAGCGGGTTTGGTGAATATTGGTTGGGGCGAGTCTTGCCTGCCTCCACTTGGTCATCTTTATATGAATCCAATGAGGTGTGTGTGTGTGGAGGGGGATTATCGTTTTTGTTTGTTCGTTTTGGTCTTTCTGAAACGGTTTTTAGGTGATATTCATGAAGAGCAGTCCGTACCTAGAACTGTGCCACTAATGAGAGGAAAACCTGTCTGAGAAGGTGCGTCTTCCCAGAGCTGCCGTCCCACCCTTGGGGCCTCTGCTGGGAAAACAGAATCAAGTCTCAAACAA